TTAAATTGAATTACAAAAAAAAAAATAAAAATAAAAATGTATTAAACTAACAAATTTAATGTGTGCATAATTAATGTAATCATTACATTTATTAAAGATGAGCAAAATATAATATAAAATATATAAATTCCATTAACAAAATTTTAATATATAAAGAAAAGGATATAACTTCTTAAGTTTAACATTGATTGTTGAAATCAATATTATGTATATTACGTGATTATTACATAACATACATACATAAAATATATAATAATAATATATAGGCTATAAATAAAGAGTATTAATAATATGAATGTTTATAATGATAATAGTTCTAATAATATAGAGAATATATTATTATTATGTTTTTTTATTATTTTGCTACAATTGATTTTTAACCAATAAGAGAAATAAAATAATGAAATAACTAACGCTTGTATAACATACAAATCAGAATAATTTAATATATAATGTGTTCATTTATAATGAGAATAATATATTAGTATATATAATTTGTATAATATTATATTCACATAAAGCTAATAAACATTTATTGTGAAATAACGTCAATATAAGTTACACTAAATCATCGTATATTAATTACAAACGCGTAAATATTATTTTTACATTAAATTTACCATCTCATGATAAAATGAATATAATCTTTATTATATAAATCATAATTCGTTAAATTAAGAATTAATTTTGTTCTTCATATATATTGAGCTAATAATATCTGTAACACTTTAGTAAATGTATATCCATTTTTTTATCGAAATTCTTACAAATGTTAATTAGGTTATTTAATAATATTAATAGTGTATCTCTATAATAAATTATATGAAGTAAATTTATATACAAATCCAACGTTTACTTTTATTCGTAAAAAATATTTTGTATATAAAGTAAAATATAGAAAATTTAATATTGCCATGTTATAATCAAAATATTCATTCAAAATATAATTATATTATTAAATGGATATGAAGGATAAAAAAAAATATATATATATAATTAATCTTTTCATATATATGAAATGAGAAAAATATATATATTAAATGATGTGCAATAATTAGTGTCTATATATATACACATTAATAAATATATATGTAACATCGTTTCACATGGTAATAAATAATAAAAAAATAAATGAAAATAAATCCGATCGCATTAATATATAATTTCCGAATATTAAAAATAGTTATAACTCTAAATAAATTAATGTGTATTTAATATTTTGTAATAATATTTCCAATCAAATTATGTTATGAAATATATTAATTAATATTGAAAAAAATCATATGAATTAAAATGAAACTATTATAAAAACATGTCATTTTGCATTGGTATTATGTTTATATTATATATATATCATATTAATATTTTATGTCATTGAATTACATTATCCAATAAAACTACAGATCATTAAATTACAATGAGAAAAAAAAAACATATATTGATAGTTATTTTATTTAATATTTATGTTTTGTTAAAATAAATTTATAAATGTTGTTAGTATATTTTGTGAGACCATCTTATTAATGTATCAAATTATTATTTAATTATGTTTGGTTATATTATAAGAATTATTTCACTTTTATATAATGTAGTTAGAGATATTATAATAAATTTCTTTCTATTACAATATTACTTGTTATTTTTAAACAAAATTTTTTTTTAAAACTATTTAATTATCCATATAATTACTCAGAATAATATAGTATATTTAATTTTCTATTGCTTGAATCACTACCTTAAAATTCTAATGTCTGCAATATACTACATTCATTATACATGTCGTTTCGCCATTTTCTTTTTCTTATTATTCTATTCCTTAATTATTTTCCAAAAACAAACTAATTCACAACAAAAATAATTATAAATTAAAAATGCAGTTTTATTTTGATAAATTATATATTTTATTATAATTATTAAGATTAATTATTTTATAATATAAATATATATATGAATTATATCATAAATAACCTTATACAAAATAATTATAAAGGTGGACAATACTACTATTACAACAATTGTAGTTATGATAGGAATTGTTGAGTTAAATGTTTGTAAATAAGGTATCATTTGCCATGTATCATCGACACATGTTACGTTTTCAATTTGTTTGTTATATCGATATTTTCCCCTTTCTAATGCATTGCAAAAATCGTTGTTATTGTTATGATTACATTCATTCTTGTGTTCCATATATAAATGAGAACATTTTATTGCACATTCGCTTTTTCTCGTATCTGTTAATTTCCTTACATTATCTATATTTTCAAGATTTGTATTTGTGTCATATATAGACTTAATATTTTTTAGTTCATTTACTGTAATATTCTACATTATTCACATGTTCCCCATTTATAGAATCTGTCTCAATGAATTCGCATGAATTATGTGCACGTTGGATATATATGTAACCTTATTATATTGCATGAAATTGCATATCTGTACTACATCTCATTTATATGTGATGCTTTATCATGTGCAAAATTCATATATAGTTTTTCTTTTAATACGTTTTATTTGAGTGCTTATTTTAGAAATGAAACAACATTTTCCCTAACATTTGTGTTAATATATTAAATAGCTTATTTTAATTATGTAACGTAAAAAGAAAAAGTGTCCTATATATATACATATTTCTTACTGTTAAACAATAATGAATTTTTACCATGATAAATTCCTTTTAATCCGAGTTCATCGTACCACACATCCTACTCACAATAGTAACATTTATAATATAAATTATTTTCAAATATTCCATAATTAATATGAATAAAAAAATTTTAACAAAACGAAATAAATGCTGAATTCATCATAATAATTGTGTTATTATAAATATGTTATTCCTTGAATCACAAAATAAACAAATTTATGAATAAATAACAATTCTTAATAAAAAATTCATATAATTGTGCATCAATTTAATACATATTTAATTCAGAATTTATTTATTATCCATTTCAAATATTTAACAGTGTTTAACATGGATATCATATAAATAGGTTAGAATGTTATGAAAAATTTTGGTAATTTTTAATCATCCTAAAATGTTGGCGCGTTGTCTATTTTGGAGTATATGCATATACTATACAAATTTTTTTATGGATTAAGATGTAACAACAATAATCTACACCACAAAGATGTTATTAGGATTTATTATGTGTACAATAAAAAATATTTTATATATTAACAAATGAATAGTTAAATAACAAATATTTAATGCTTATATGTTATATATTATAACTTAATTAAAGAAACACTATATGGTTTATTCTTATAGAAAATAACTAAATAATATAGATCATTTTTTATATTATTTTTGAGAAATATATTAATTTGTGAAATAGTAGTTTTATAGTGATTATGTAGAATAAACGTAAATGAAAAAATATAAAATGGTGAGTTATGTTAACATACATTTTAGTATGGATGTGCTCTTATTTATGCCTATCACATAATTTATTGTTGATGGATTTAAATATAGTTAATGTTAATATTGAAGTTTCGCAAAATTTTTTATACATTTTTTGAATTTAACATATTAATATCACTTATAAATATACATTTAGTATTCAATTAGCTCACATTTTTGGTATGATATTACGCATTTTATTCACAGATAAATTTTTATTTATATTTTTTTTTAGCAAAAATAATAATCACAAATTATATTGTACTTATGCTTATAAACATTATGAATAACAAGGTTTACGTTATTTTTTTAACAAATGTAATAAAATAAAAAGAAAAGTTTAATTTTAAAATAATTTATATAAAAAATATATCATAAAATATTCAGTTTATTAATATAAAAGACATAATTTTAATGAAACGTTTATCATAACAGCGGTCTCTATTAATATTAAAATGAAGAAAAATTATATTAATTCTAAATATTTTATTGTTGTTCTTATATTTACAAATAAAAAAGTTATTAAATACATACCAAAAAAGAAAAACAAAAAAAAAAAAAAATTAAATAAAACTACCTAAACATATTAGCTAATAATGCGACATATGATTGATATAAAAAAGACATTTTTTATTTATAGCTTTTGTTACCATGGACTATATCCTACATGCTGTGTATCTTGGTTTGGATTTTACGTTTAATTTGACCGCTTTTTTTTTTTTTTTTCTGGATTCATTCCCGAGTTCATTTAAATATGGTTGTCTATGTATATTTGGGTGCATTACCTACACTGGGAACATTTGCTGTTGTTGTATGCTTTCACCATATAGATGTCCTTGATGAGTGGATCCATGTGGTTGATCATAAGTTTTCTTATAATAATTCATCCATAAATCCTCTTCTTTTGTTTTTTTTTTAGTGACTTCGAATATCTGAGACACTAATATAAAAGTGGATAACATAGCTGATATATAACGTT